CAGATAATGAAATCTAGTTGATCGTTTGAGCTTTAAATATATCATTTGAAAGTTTGATTCTTGTGAACTCTAATATTATATTAAGACCTCAATATCGTGCTTAAAATGTTAATTTGGTTAATAAGACTATCAAAAATATAGATAAACCTAGCATTCACCATTTTAATGTGAAGTGGACAACACGAAACCTTTGATTGTTGTCTTGTACGTAGAAAACTTTTGCCACCTTAATATTCTATGATATCCGACGCATGTTTTCTTGCTACATAACTTCTCCAAACCAAAAGCAATGGATGTTTAATGTCTTGTATATATGTTTCATTCAACGCTATCTTTATTCCTTTTATTTTCTTGTTTTTTGGGCCAAAATCCTCATTCCATTTTTAATTGGCTTTAACTCAAGAGACTATGGGTCCATTTTGACAATTTTTTTGAAAAATCAAAATCTATTTATGAAATTAAGAAGCTGCTTTCGAATATGTATAGATAAATTTTTGAAAGCGTTACTTAGAAGAGTTTTTAAAGAAAGGTGATAGAAGAGTTTTTAAACAAAGGTGATTTAAGATAGTTTCCTCTAAAAACTTCCACGCGAAAATAGAAATCCTGCCAAACAGATTGTATATTTGCTCTAGAGTTACTATTTTTTTTTTCTATTGCAATAAAAATTTTAGATTGGTTAAATATTTGATTTTAAGGAGTTTAAAAAGAAATCGAAAGAGTGTAAATAGATTTCTTAGTCCCCTTTCTTTTCTAACTATGTGCTTATATAACATGCCTTTAAGTGCAAACCGTAGGATGAACTTTTTATTTCATAGTTGAACGTCACAATGCTTTTTACTTGGATTCAATTTTGGGAAATCTCTCACATTGAGGAAGCTTTCAGACTCATAACATGTATGGCTTGAGCACAATTTCAATTATTTGATTATTAAATGATATATTCATTTAAATTTTTTCTTTTACATAATCCCCTCGTGTAAACTAGATACATTTTTCACCAGAGGTCTAGCACGAGAGCAGAACTAGAAGTGTAGTTGAAAGGCGGTGATTCAACACCCTTCTGTTTTCCCGGTAATGTTTGGCGTTTCCACCACTCCGTCAAGTATGCAGCCTTTGGCCACCATCACGACTGCAAAGATACAGGGATTCGTCTGGAAAAATATCATATGCAGGTTTGGAATACCTCGGGTAATCATTACAGATAATGGAAAACAATTCGATAAGTAGTGTAGGATGGCAAAAGATTTAGAAGGAAAATAACATTTCGCCAAAATTATAAATTAAAGAAATTATTAATTTTGCTTAAACATCGCACTAGGTCATTACATACATTTGCTCTTACACAATAGTTTTATATATTATGACAATAGTTGGCAAGAATTCAACTTACACATCTTTTGTTTAAATTTGATATCATGTCAACAATCTCATCAATAGCTTAAACTGTTAAACATGGTTATGTTAGGTGGTATTGATCCTCTCTCACTTCAAAGCTAGCTCAAGAAATGATATTTTTCCTCACACTTATAAACTGAATACCAATCACATCCATAATCGATGTTGGACTTCAACAATCTTCACCTCACACATCGGACTTTGTGAGAGACCAAACACATCTCTCCCTCACACAACGGAGCCTATGGGATGCTAAACCCGTCTCACCCTCACACAAACCCGTATTTCCGTAACCGTTGGACTGGAGACTTATTGATAAATCAGACTTTGATACTAGTGTTGGTGGTATTGGGCCTCTCTCACCCCCAAAGCTAGCTCAAGAAATGAGATTTTTCCTCATACTTATAAATTGAATACTAATCTCATCCACAATTGATGTGAGACAACCTCAACGGGTTACATATATTCATTTAAATTGTCTTCGGGAGAACTGTACGTGTTATGTCCTAGATCCAATCGATTTAGGTTGTAAATGCTTTTAATATGTTTAATACATTTAATTTTGGTGAGACCTATTATTT